AAAGCGTAGCTTCAACCAGTATACATCCTCAAACCACTGGCAGTTGCAGTGGCTCAGTCTCTAAGTCTAGTTCTAGTATAGTGCATCAGCTTCATGCATAGCAGTACCTTTTGTCAGTAGTAGTCTTAAGTGGAACTCCTGATCCTCAGTTGTCAGGTCTCTTAACAGTTTCTTTTTGTTCGCCTCATACTTCTTTTAGGGTCAACAAACTACTGGGGGTGTCAGGGGTCAAGCTGGTGGTGCAGCTATATGGAGTTGCGGTTCTACCCACCCAGTGTACTCAAGCCACCACTGTTGTAGGTCCTGTTCAATGAAGTTCAAGGGCATAAAAAGTTTCAAAGATGATAAAAGAAATCATCGCCTAGGTAAGTTGTCTTGGGCGAGGATAAGAAGTTTTGGGTAGTCTTGACTTAATGTAAGAACACTAGGCTTATGGGAGCTAGGTGGAGTGAACACTAAGTCAAGACTGGGGAAACCCAGCTCAACCAACACCTCTATATATACTACTACAGCATTATGTACATATGTTTGTCTCAGAAGGTACTGGAACTGTGAAGACCATCTCAGAAGCATCCAGATGCCTCATGTATCTACATGTTTGATCCTGCAAGATCTGAAACAAGTTCTTGTGAGAGTAAAGTAATGTCTGTGCGTGAATAGAATACATCTAGGTCTATGTGAAGTAAATAGAAGAGTTCTGTGAAGAATACCAATGTCTATGTGAAGAATACAGCATCTAGATAAGGATCATGACACATTGGCTGCCCTATCACTTGCATCACACCAGAGGATATGGTGATTGTACAGGATTGTGTTGTATTGCAAAATAGGACAAGTTCTAGATATAACTTCTGAATTCTTTGTAAGTACTATAAGTAAAATCAGTGTGGCATGGATTAGAATCCTATCTAAATATAGGTATTCTTGCTTGCTTTTTGCTGATGTGGCAGTGGCAGAGCAACCATGTGTCACCCTCTCTCACTCATTCTCACCCACTCACTCACTCATTCACTCACATTCTCTCTCCTCTCTCTTGGCTGTCTCGCTGCCCGACTCGCCCCAGCTGGTTGGTTCAATTTTTCTATTCTGCTCGCGCCGCTCCCGTTCGCCAGCCACCCGTTCCCGCCCCTGGTTCTCGGGGTCTCGCTCGCTCACGCCGGCTGTCCCCTCCTCTCGGCCGCGCGCGCCACCCGCTTAGGTCAGCTCCCCGCGAGTTGTCGGGAATAAGACCTTCGTCTACTTACAGCAATATCTCATTGTCGCTGCAATCATGGATTCACCGTCTACCTCAGTACAGGCTCTGAGATCCCAAATTGCTCGTTTGAAAGGTCAGTCCACTTTGACTGTCAAACCTCGAAAACTCCATCATCTGCCTGCAGGCGTAATCGACCAACACAAGCTTCAAGAACCGCGCAAGCACCCACCAGGACACCAGTATACTCGCGCTAGGAACAACGTTTATGTCAACCCAAACTACCAACCGCCGAAACGATCTTCTAAATTCGTTGCTTCCCGTGCTCCCCATCGCAGTTACAAGCCCAAGCCCATCCGCCCCAAGCGTACCATTAACCGTCGTACGTTAAGCAAGCGAAAGTACTTCAATAAGCCATGTCCCCGTTTCTCCACCACCGGTGAGTGGAATGGCCTAATAACTCGCTATTTCATCGCTGACCCGCAGAAGGAGCTTGCAATCGCGGCCTTACTTGCATGTATCAACATGATCCGTCGAAGATCGCCATCTGCTGGAACTTCCTGCATGGCAATTGTTCGAACACTGCTGAGAGCTGTGGCCTATCGCACGATCCCACTCCCGAGCGCACGCCTCCTTGCTTGCACTTTGCTAACAATGGACGGTGCACTAGGGAAGATTGCCCCTTTCCCCACGTACGTCTAGGACAGCGGCAGGGGGTTTGTCGCGATTTTGCTGTGTTTGGATACTGCGGCAAAGGATTGGATTGCGAGCGGCAGCATATTCGTGAATGTCCTGACTTCGCAGAGAAGGGGAAGTGTACCCTCAAGGGATGCAAGCTCCCACATGTCATTCGTGCAAATCGCAATCGAAAGGCCGACGCTGGTATGGCTGCCATAGGTACGCGTTTATCTCAGTAGTATCCGACGATTCTTTGTGCTGTTTTCGTTGACGTCTGCGATAGGAATCCCTGCCCATCCTTCCAGCCCGGTCCATGCAACGAACATCGACAATGTTAACACGGAACATCCACCCGGAGCCGTCGAGTCGACTCAGCTCGGAGATGAGTATATATCTCTGACGTTTCATGAGAGTGAAAGTGACAGTGAAAGCGAAGATGAGCAAGACAGCGAAGACAGTGAGTAGCCAGTGATACCTCGTGTAGCCATGTAGTCCGTTGTAATATATGCCCACATCATTGTATGATTTTCGATGGAGAGTTCAACGAGGCCCAGCGCCCGTCGTACAACCTGATCGATACTGTAGATCCATTTCACTCTCCAACGTTATTTAAATCCGCCGTCATATATTGTACAAGCCCCGTCAATTGGCCTTACAATAGCCCTTACACCCTCATGTATCTAGAATCACTACGACTCACTAGAATGATGTCTCGGTTCTGCCCCCCTGATAATCACATTGAAATGTGGCATGACATAGACAGACGGACATATGTAGACATATGCTAACGGGGTACGAGAATTATATACATAGCAAAATAACAGCTTCATGCCTCCGTTATTTCGCGCAATCGGCGGACAGTGCTGAACACATTGTCAAGAAGAGGCAGTTCATAGGAAGATCAAAACTAACCTGCGCACGGTAGCAGCCGTTGTTGTTGATACAGTCCAAGCTCCACCAGCAATCACTTTCTTGCAAGATGCACACCGCCAGATACCGACGGCTTGTCGCTTCACAGAATCCTTTCAAATGGACCATAAGACGTAAGAACGGATAGACAGGTGGCCGTCTGTCTGTCTTACCTTGCCACAAAAGGTGCAAGTGTATCGCGCATGTTGGGTGATTTCCATCTTCAAATGGATGAGCGTGACTCCCTCAGAACAGAGATTTGCCCTACACACCTTTTTGACCTGCTTACGCAGTGAGGCACCATACCGCTATGTATGTATTGAACCCAGATTAGCCCCGCACGCCTCATACTCGCTCTACCCAAAGTCTACTCACGGTACCGTACTTTCCCGTCACGCCAACCTTGCGAGTTCGTTTCGTCTAGGAAAAGGATGTCACATACGGGTCGGTTTGCTTCGCATAACACTCACCATTTTACAGAGTGGATCAGGCGTGAGCGACGTGCTTGAGGAGAGAAGGTCGCTATGGACAAATCAGGATGAACTGTACAGTTCAGCCACACGGAGATGACATAAGCAAATGTCTGCGACGGGACATGAGGTCAGCCTGGGATGCGCTCCAACCGATGGCGATCGAGATCTGTAGCCCGTGATATATTGTATGTGCATGGTTGTTGTAGTTAGTATGGTTGTAGCCAAGTTGTAGCTGCCAGCGTTGCTGCCATCGTGTCCAGTTCCCAGTATCCAGAGTGTGTATATTGGGAGCCTGAAACCGGCCGACCACACTATCAATGACATTCATTGCTGGCAACTCAAAGCAGACCAGTAGCTGTATATGACACTGTATTGCAGGCCGTCGCCATGTTGGGGTCAACGTCTTCCCCAGTTGTTTGGATGATACTGCAGCTGCTGACGAGGCTCGGTGTGATGACTTCTGCATGTCCCGACCACCTCTGCTGGATAGGATTGACAACTTGCCAACGATTCGAATATATATACTGGAAGCCAGTGCTCGTGGTCATATCCGGACCGAGCAAGTGACACTCGCATATGTTGCGAATATATTAATCCCGCCTGTAGGCACTGACGGCCCGGTGGACGACGATGAGCGCTGTCGGCGGTTTGATCCTAAGAGGGACACTACACTCCGATCGTTGCTCCTGGTTTCGTGCTTGCTGGATTTCAGGCTTCTAAGTGAGACCCTGCACTCTACTAGCTACCCTCGCAACCGTTCTGAATGTGCGCCGCTGGTTCTTCAGGCTACTCGTCTCATCTGAGGCGCATTCACTTATCGACGAGCGCTGGGCGTGACATCGCACCCGGCTGCCTCACGTATCTGACATGGGCGGTGCATCCGGCCAGTCACCGCAACTCGTCAGAACCATTTCGCGAGGAATCCTGCATTTGCAGGCCAGGTGTATCCCGGAATACATGCCGCAGCTCTTCTGTGGTCGCAGCCACGTTTCGTGTGGACCTCGCACAGCCTGGCAGAGTCACATTCGCGCATTTGTCCAATCACGATGCGTTATACGAGGCACCTCCGTCCAATTGTAGACCCGAATTCTATTGTAGAAGTCCGCCCACTCGCACATTCTCTCCCGTCTAAACCATCCTCACAGCCACATGTTTGCGAACATCTGGATAGAACCTTTTTCACTGCCATCGGGACCTCCGATGGAATCATGACAGACACGTTCACGGCTCCGCTACCACAGCCTCTTCCGGGATGGAGTCATTTGCCCACTTTGGAATTATCTATTAGATTTCCTCCTTGTTAACTCTGTAGTCCCCTACATATGTGATAGCGTCAACCACGGTGGGCATGACATATATGCTTCGACATGCAAATACTCATAATATCTTTCCTAGGCGGCCGCAAATACCACGCGTCGCCTTTACGAAAAGATCCTTCTGCAGTGCATATTCCTGTTGCGATAACAGGCGGTGCCACAGCGTGCGCTTGTGGGCACTCCTCTGCTATAATAGCAACCCTTGCACAGTGCTAATCCCCTCCCAGCCTTTCACCTATCAAGTGCCCACGAATGAACTCCTCTTTTACCTTTCCCCTGGCTGGTATATCCGAGTACGTTGTCATTCCAGATTGACTATTCATTCTTAACCGGCTAGCCTCAGTGACTCCCCTCGTGTCTCTTGTGACATGCCCCATCACGCTGACGAGAGTTCTCTCTGGCCTGAAGACTTGTCTACTCTATCGCAGCCATCAAACCTCAGTGGCGAAGCCAACTCACAGCTCTCCGTATGTTTCTTTCCACAGTAATGGCTCAACATCTCATGCGCCTTCCTTGTTAGCATTCGGAATTTGTCTTCCCAGATGAGACTTCTGGTCAAAGCATCCGTGGAAATGCCCTTTTCCCCGCAGATTCAATGCCTCATCTCCTCTACTCTTCCAATCTGAACCAGCAGTCGCTTCTTCTGAGTCCTGCTGAAACATCCACGCAATACGCTGATATGACATTCCAATCATCACCCTTATACAGTGTATCCCCACCCATCATCTACAGCGATACCCCTCGCAATACTCCTGCGATTTATGTTGAGACTTCTGGATTAAACCCACTACTATCTACGACCCCTGACTCTTTGCGCACACCGTATGACCAGTATCCCTTTCCATACAACCGCCGTCCCAGCCTTCCTACCCCATCCAGTTCAACCTCTCGCTTGCCTATCACACCTGGAGCGTCCCCCATGAGCACCATTGGTAGCCCGTTTGTGTCCTCTTCTCCACACTCTCCCGTATCGCCTAGTATGAGAGGTCCGATCGATCAGCAGGTGGGATTACTGTATTAAGATTCATGTTGTGCAGGCGGTTGACTCAGAGCACTTCTAGTCTTTGTACGATATACAGGGGCGCGATCCGCATGCAAAAGCTAGCATGCGCACTGTTCAGGAACTTGCAGTAGCCTGCTCCAGTCCTTATGATGGCTTGCTCGTCCCTCAGAGGACGTACCGCCCTCATACACAGAGCGACCGTAGGCGTTATGTAGAAGAGGTTGAGTTAGAACCACCCATCATGTTCCTCGTCCAAAACCCGGAGGGTTGCGGGATCCCACTGCGAGATGCTCTTAACAGCAAATTCATGCGGCTCGTGGATAGAGACGATCTGATGTTTAGACAACGCGGGCCGTCCGTCTCCATTAGGTTGATGGTATGTTGTGGGCCCCATGGTTTCACTTGTGATATGGAATGACAACTTTGCTCACGTCATAGTGGCCCGGATATACGCAATGGAGCAGGCAGATTCCGACGCGCGATTTTCGTAGCCCTCCGGGTCCTATCACCCGCTCGAAGCTAGCAAAGAACGTTGCCAAAACTATCGAGAGGTTCATTCAGGTATGCGTAAATTCAGTGCAAGATTTGATGACCTCTCAACATCACCTGTGCCTCAGGAGATGCAGTCGCAACAAATGGAGGAAGATGCTGACCCTCGCTGGCGCGTCGGCGCGAGACATATTACAATCGACCATCTCTCTCTTGTCGGCCTCCAGCACGTCTCCATGGGCAGCTGGCAATGCCACGTACGTCTCAATCGGACTCATTAGACCCGACACCTCTTCACGCGTCATGCCTCGAACGATGTCTATGCGCTGGTTTCTCTTGACTTCTGTTTTCTGCTTTTCTTACATTCAACCGTATGCATCCGGCTGCTTTCCCATCCAAGCCGCTAATCCAAATATCTTGGACCCACCCTGCTGTCGTTGTACCGTAGCTGTCGCCGCTTCTTTTCTGCGCCGCCTTGTATATCTGTTTCGATCTGACTGCTTTACTTTGTGTACTCGTTGAATATACCCAGAGGATCAATGTCAAGGAATATCACTTATACGAAAGCTTGTCTCTCGCCATCAATCCCGCATGAAGTGACAAGCATCTGCGGTCGCCAATTACGACCGCAACAACCGTGGACCGTGAAGTCACTCTCCAGTCGTGCAATTACAAACAAATGGCAGTTATCGGCATTTATACAGTTACTGTCAATACTTCGAGGCAAGGGATTATATTGGGATATACCTATGTAATGGTTATCCCGGCCGCGTATGGGATCTAGACTAAGCTATGCGTTCTCTCGGCACAGTAATATGCTTTCGCCGGTAAGATTTCTGTGCCTATTGGGATTCCTCCATGGTGGCTTTTAAGCTCTCGGCGAACATGACACATTTTATGAACCTCCTTGAAGGTCAAGTTTCAAGGTTTCACTGATGCAGCTACAGTATTCTAACGATATACACCACACTCGGGCAGCTTTAAACCTGGCGACACATAATAATAATATAGAGCGAGCGAGCGAGACGACCACAAAATAACACGAGGGAACCAAGATGCGCAGTCAGATGAATGAATCGAGAGATTGGGGGAGTATGGCTACCCTACAGGCGATGCTTCTGGATCTCTATAGACCTAGTGACATGGGCAAGGCAGTGTAAGCAGAGATATAACTTAAATGATAATGAAGAAAGGACACACCTTGAGATCCCATATCCTCCCCACCGGATTTTCCTCCTCTTCAAGAGTCTCATCACTGTCTCGAGTAGTATCGAGCTTGAGTCCTTGCTCGTTAGCAAGGTGAAGGAGGCAGATGAAACAAAAGCTCGTGCTGATGTCATCCAACCTCTCCCTGGGGTATGTCTTCTGCAGACCGGAGATGACAGCTGTGAAGTCTCTCGCTTCTGTGGGGTCTGTCGGTATTCGATCATCGGTATCCTGGTAGTCGGATTTAAACTTGGGTGAATCGAAGCCAAATAAGTGACTGCATACTGACCATCGCATACTCATCCTCCTCTCGTTGTCCAGGGACCACGATATCGAGGCCCCTCCAGATGTTCTCCTTCAGCTTCCGTACATCGACCCGCTTGGCCCGCTTAGTGTAATTCACGAACTCGGGTCGAACTCGTCTTGTTTGCCCTTGAGTAGCTGCAAGGAGATCCTGCTCCGCCGGATCAGCACTTCCGTCGTGCGCCGGGCCATCATAAACTTCGTCAAATCCAGGGCCTTCATCAAAGTCGTCGTGGAAGAATTGTGTGTTGAAAGGTATGGGACCACCGTCAACCGCTGATAGGTACCTATCAGCGTCGATACTCGAGGACGTCCAACGAAGTTCACTCACTTTCGTCGCCTTCGTCACCTGCTCGAGCTGCAGCATGGTCGGCAGCCGCCTGCGCCCAAAAGTTTTCGTCAATTTCACCGCCGTCACGATCGTCAGAACGTAGCCGTCGCCCTCGCATTCTCAGCTGCGACCCCATGTCAATCCTCGTTGAGCGGGGCGTGGAAACTCGAAGGCACTCACCGCGAACTTGGGTTTCAAGAACAATGTCACCAACTGGCGACTGGAAAAATGCATGTCATCGGGCAATGTCTGATCGTTACGCTTGTCTTGTGCCCGATCTTTGCCTTTCTTGGGTCTGCCACCCTTGCGAGCAGATGCTTTGGCTGTAGAAGGCCCTGGCAACATGATGCTTGCGCCACGGGTCGGAGGGGCAAAAAGCTCTTTGGCTAATGTCTTGGTGTCTTTCGCAGACGGCGTGAGGAAATCAATTTTGAACGCCTCTTTCTTTTCCCGTTTGGCCTTGGGGACAGCTGCTTCAACGGTATCCGCTGTGCATTCATGATGAGTAGTGAATAGGACACACAGATGGCCGCGGAGCAAACTCACGTCGTCTGACCACCTTGCGCAGCTTCCAATGCTCAGGACCAGCCCAATTCTTTAAAAAGGCTTGATCAAAGTAATCCATCATCAGTCCACCGCCAGCTTCGTCGCCGTCAGTCATTGCTAAAACCAAATCTCGTTCATTTGGTACGCGACGTGGGTCGAAAGCTACGAAACCACCTGGCTGGCTAGGTTCACCGGACACTGCGTCTGGATCACCCGGCTGATCACCACCATACTCATTTGCATCAAAATCGCCGTCGGGAAAGCCGTCACCGACAGCTTGATCGCCTACGAAAAAGTCCTCGACGGGTGGAAGATTATCGTCTGCATTGTACTCTCCACCCTGCCCATCTGCAGGGTCGTTCACAATCGCATCGTCGTCGTCATCGCCACCATCATGATCAAAAGAGGGAGGATCATCGCGGAAGAATGTTGACTCATCGAATGAGAAGGCGTCTTTCGAAAATGAAAAACCTTCTAGAGAATGTGAAATGGCCTTGACATCGAGAGCACTTAAATCGGGCAAGAATTGACCTGATACACCACAACTTAAGTTGTGATCGTCGTACAGGAGTATGACAACTTACTGCGCAAGTGGCTGAGATCAATCTCGTCTTCTGGCTCCTCAAGCAGCTCGTCCTCTTTACCATCCTTGCCCATAGAGTCACTGGCATCGAAAATGACACGAAGACTACCTTCAGATCCAACACCAAGGGAGAGATGGTTCATGAGCAGGCCCTGGGCACCGCCCTCGTCAAAATCTGCGCAAGTCTTCCTGAACAGAGGATCCACGGTGAATTCAAGATCCAACTTCTTGCTCCGTAGCTGCATGATCGACTTGGCAAGAGTAGATTCGGACCTGTGCGTTTTGCGCTTTCGCTGCGTCTGGCTTGGATCCTGACCATCTGCATTTTCGGCATCCGCAGCATCCGCCTCATCATTAGCAGCATTCCCTTCCGTAGCGAGATTGCTCAGGAGCTTTCCTGTCTCGGTTCCCACACTGTCGACGCGACTTGTCCAAATCTTGACACAGCCGTCTAGCGTGCACGAAGCACGCTGAAAATTGATCGAGTTATCAGTATTGTTGCGTAGAAGAGACATATCATGAAAGTAGTCTATCAGCGCAAAATTCCAGGAATTGGCGGCGTTGATTTTCTGTGAATCCATTAGAAGGCGAACGTAACAGCACAGGAGGAATGCGGCGCACATTGTCTGTAGCCATTTTCATCCATTCTTCAAAATTGGAGCTCATAACATCTAGAGGAACATTGATCACCGGCGTCTGGTCTATGGAGAGTAACTGTTGCTTCTGCTTTGTTGGTGCGGAAGCATGAGACGAAATAACACCGCCCTGCTCTCCTGTCTGCTCTTCAGACGGTCCAGCTTCTGCTACCTCGGAGGCCTGGGCTGTCAAAGCCACCTTCGCGCTTTTCCGCCGTCGACGCTTCTCTGCAATGTCATCGTTAATATTGACGGACTTCAATGGGACGCGGCCAGTCTCTGAGGAAAAACTATCTTCATGACCAAGACCATAGATGTCGCTGATGCGTTTCCGTGATAGTCGTCGATTAGGAGGCATAGGAATATCTTGTTCAGGTTCTGTGTCGCCATCGCCGCCAGTTTCAGTGTGCGATGGAGCGATTTCCGAATGAGAAGATAGACGAGAGGGACGCGTCGCGGGCATGGTCGCTGTTCATATCCAACCTCCAATCACGCGCCACAATCGACGCGTCCGACACGACGCACGTGACTCACTGTCACAACGTGACACAGAGGGCAAGCTTGTCGCGTCAATGGCCTGTGTACTGGAATAACAAGTTACTCGACCAAAAAATTCACATTTGCTAGATGCACCGTACTCCCCCACTCGATGCAAACAGCGCCGGGCAACAGGCGGAAGATCCCAGCTTCTCCAATCTGCCGCCTAACCTGAAGAGACGCATTGATCGCGCCTTCGACGAGGCCCTCGCGAACAATAGCGGCGTAAGACCTAGCAAACGACGCAAGACAGCCAACGATAGCTTCGGACAGACCTCCAATGTGTCTACAACCTCCCAGCATGGAGGATTTCTGCCTGGAGGGTTTATAGTCGACGAACCGGGTGGCTTTATCGTTGATTCCAGTCCTCCCCCAGGCAGCGTCGACTCGGGAGACTCGCCAGCCCCCGCGAAACACTCCGACATCCCCCTCTCGCTGATTCCCGCGGCGCTGCAACTTCTCGACCTTCAACCCGACGACGAAGACGTTCTCTCAGTTTTCAGGAATGCTGCTTCAGGATGGACAGATGCTTCCGGTGTGCAATCGAGCGTACCGGATCCCCATGTCAGCAGGCAAGATTGGAGGGCTGTCTGCGCTGCGCTCCTGGGCACGGGTGCAGACGAGCCAGAACGCATGGACGATGATGCGGAGAGTGACGGACAAGACATTGTCGAAGACGACTCTGATCCGGAAGAGGAATATATGGACAGTGGTTCTGAGCATTCAAAGTCTTCGGCAGAGTTGGCAGACTCGGATGATGAGTATGTCGAAGGCGGGTTCATTCCCTCCAAAGGCAAGGGGAAGACCCGCGGTCAGGCCGCGACTGAGAAGCTCCCGCGCGGAGGACGAAAAGGTTTGTCTTTGGACGACTCGGATGCAGACGAGGGGACCAGTCGCGCGCGCCCTCTGACCGCGCGTCAGAAGCAAGAGTGCCGCCGCGCATTTGGCCTGTTCTTCCCCAATGTCAGGGACGACAAACTAGACGACCAGCGGATCATGATTAAGGACATCACTCGCGTCGCAAAGCTGCTGAAGGAGAAGCTCTCCGCGGAAGAGGTGAGTCGACGCCGCTTCAGGCCACATCTGATATCGCTAACCCGTTATGCCTGCCGTAGATCATGGAGATGCTGGACGCATTTTCTTCGTCTGCAGACAGGTCGATGAACTTGCAGGACTTTGAGCGGATGATGATAGCGGCGAAGCTAGCCTAGTCCCTAGCCTCGTTCTCCGCGCGGCCAGGCCGTCCTGGCGCCTCTGCGCCCCAAGCTGAGGATGATCGTAGTCGCCTGTCGGTTTGTCTCTCTCTTTGGCCCAATTCCACGGCGACGACCGCGGCCAGGGTCTCCATACCTTCTGCAATGATCACACGCCCCCCTCGCCGCCGCTGGGTGATGCTGTGCGACCGCCACCCCGCATTTCCCAAGGCCAACAGCACTTCTCTTCGCTTGTTCCCGTCCCCGCACTCCCAGCTGACCGGGCTTCTCCAGCACGAAGTCCAGAATCGCCCGGTGTGATGTGATCCTGCAACAGCGCACGCAATTGTAAGCCGGGCATGTGAATGCCGCTGCAGAATCGGGCCCGCCTGCGTGGGGAGGGCGTCTCTATGGCTGCGTGTGTGCCCATCTATCGCCCTCGGGCTCATTAACCGTGTACGATCTGTCAGAGTTGTGCGTAATAAAGTACCGAGGATACACTTTCCGTAGTGACGACGTCTCATCCAGTGAACTTCGAGAACCTCCGACCGGCCTCAGCTGCCCTTCGCCGCATTCAAGCCTGCGCGCCGCCTGCTGTCGGAATGTAACATTGAACCGACAGCTCTCGTACTATTATTAGTAGTACTATACTATGTCGGGCGCGATACGCCGCGTGCTTGGTCTGGCGAAAGGGGGGACACGCCAGAGGGCCCTTGTTTATTATCCTCGTACTGCGCACGCCGTGCAAGAATAGGTGTTCGTCCCGAACATTTTACCCCGAGACATGATGCATGATGTACCGCTATTCCCGACGTGACGTCGGGCATATGCCGTACATGCACATGCACATCTGAGACTTTTGTGGCTTTCTAAGCTGCATCAAAGCCCCATCACCTACCCAACACTTCTCATCGAGGCGAAAACTTACGACAGGCTCACGCCACGCCAGCTCAATCAGCACATCACAGAGCAGATTTGGTATCATGCGTGAATCGAATTATTAATGTACACAAGCTGTGTTATCATGTCGCCAGCGCCATCGCAGGGATACCGCATGGCACCCGCGGCGACAGTCACCAGGGAATCGTAAGGAGGAGTGAGTACGCGTTACACATTAGTAGAAATAAACTGCATCGTGCAAGTATGGGCGTATACGAAAAGTTCGTCAACTTCCATGAATATCCCAGCACAACCCCAGACAGAGTGAGATACGAGCGCGGGCACAAACGCAGAGCGGCCGCTTAGACTTTTTCCTCCGACGCCTTGTCGTCGCCGTGCACCTTAACGTTGGCATCGCCGAGGTGGACGTCGTTCGCGATGAGCTCGCGGCGGTACGCTGCGGACGATAGAGGCGTAGAGTGCTGGTAGAGCAAGTCGATTTGCTCGAGCGAAAGACCCTTCGTCTCGGGAATGCAGAAGTACGTGAAGATGCCGGCGCCCAAACATGTCGAACCCCAGATGAAGAATACCTTCACTTGCAGATTCGCGTTGCCAGCGCCAGAGTTGACGAGGTAGGGAGTCGCGTACGCGATCGCCCAGTTCCAGAGCCAGTTGGACGCGACGGACATCGAGATTGCCTTGGCACGGACATTAAGCGGGTAGATTTCGCCCACGACGATCCAAGCTGCAATAGAGACCGTCAGGCCACTGCAATATTCGTCTGGTTAAATGAAACTCACCAATGGGGCCCCAGGTTGATGCGAAGGCAGCGATATAGATGCAGACCAGGGCAATCAAAGCTTGCTGACCGGCCTTGTTGTGTACAGAGATGGTGACACCCACGATGGCGACGAGGAACTCGCAAATGGTCATGACAGCCGCACCCCAAAGCAATAGGGACCGACGGCCAAAGCGCTCAACACCCCACATGCCAGGCAGAGTCATGAACACATTGACAATGTTGGTCGCAACCGACACAAGGAAGGGGTTACTGATACCAGAGTTCTTGAAGAAGGTCGTTCCATCTAAATATTTGGTGAGTTCACGAGTGAATAGGAAGAAGAGAAAACACGCACAGTAGAAAATGAAGTTGATGCCGGTGAGCTGCTGCCACGCCTGAATGAAGATTCCCGAGAGAGTACGGAGGCAAATCTTGTTGTCCGTGAAGCGGAAGCAGTCGAGGTACGAGCTCGAGCCAGCAGCCTTCTCTTCCTCGAGGCCGAGACGGATGTCGTTGAGCTCGAGCTCGAGCTCGGGGTCGGTGGGAGAGTAGCCTGTGAGCCTTGACATGGCCTTTGCAGCCTCAGCTTCTCTACCTTTCTTGACGAGGTAACGGGGGGACTGTAATAACGTGAGGACCACGACGATGGGCGAACACAAGATATGACACACCTCAGGCAAGAAGATCATACCAACAAAAAGGATGAACGCCCAGATGAACTGGACGGAGATGGGAATTCTCCAGGCGGCATGACTGTCGCGGTTCTTGGTTGAGTTGTTGATGACGGACGCAAGAAGGAGACCAATGGTGACAGCCCATTGGTAGCCAGCAACAACGGCACCACGGATCCACTTGGGGGAACACTCGGACTGGTACATGGGGATGAGAGTGGAGACGAGACCGACACCGAAACCAGCGAAAACACGGCCAACAACAAAGGTGGCGAGGTTTGAGGCGCCAGTCTGGAGAGCGATACCGAGAGAAAAGACGATACATGCAAGCTGAATACCGTAGCGACGACCGATGATGTCGGCGACGGGAGCACCAAAAAGAGAACCTGTGGAATGGAGATGAATGTATGCATGGGTGCACTCGAATGACAGTACATACCGAAGAAGGTTCCGGCAGAGAGAATGGAGACGATGAGGGAGGAGCGCTTGGAGGGTAGGTAATAGCCATCGGTGCATGTATCAGGGATCGCGTTCTGTGCAGCCGTGCATAGACTTCCAAAGAGGCGAAGGAAGTCGCCCATCTCCTGGATACCGGAGATGGTTCCTGTGTCATAACCGAAGAGGATACCACCAAAGGCAGCGAAAGCAGTCATGGCAATACCTGCCGCTTTGTTCTTGGGGGCATTGGCACCGAGGCCAGAACCGAACGCGGCGGGACCACCAGGCATGGTTGAGAGCGGGAGAGGGTGGTGGTGGTGACGGGAAGCGTTGGAGTCGACGGCGACGGAGGTCTAGCGAGCCAGAGGGCGAGGATTTATAGGCGGGGGGGGGGAGAGGATGGTCCGGGAGGCAAACAGAGGGCCAAACAGGGTGGCGAGACGCGTGGAAGGAGGCCGCATGGACTGCATCTGATGCGATCTCATTTCTCCAGGCACCCCCTCCCAGCCTGAGGCCGCCCCCAGCCGCCCCCACAATTCTCCGGAACGGACCAGACGCCGTCCCCAGATCGTGCCCCGGCCTGTCCACCCCCCACTTTGCCCCGCCCATTCTCGCACGACAAGGTGGATGCGGAATCGTGGATGTGTGGGGGGATGAGGGCGTAGGATGGCAGGGGCAGGTAACCTCGTGTGTCGCGGGCGGGAAGGGCGCAGTGGTGGAGGAAGCTCACCCCACTGTTCGGTTAAACGGTGAGCGCGCGCCTGAGGCGGCCCTTGGCGTTCGCAGGCCCGACGTCTCGGCTGCCACATCTGGACGTCGTCGCCCGTTCATGCGGGCCATCATCCAGCCTAATACTCCGGCTCCTGCGCAATGGCGCGTCCCCGTCATGGTCGAGTGTTGCGCGGGGGAGAACTGCGGGTGCACAGGGACGGACGCGCGAGGACAGGGGAGGACGCGTTCTGGTCGGGCGCAGAGGACGATCGATCGGGGCGGGGGAGAACACGCTTTTGCACTCCGCCTAAATTTAGCGCGAAAGTCGTGTGGCCTCGCCGTCGCCGGTTGCGTGTCCGCGAGCTCCGACTGTCCGGCGCGTTCCTGGCCACTCCAGCGACCGCCACCAGCCGTACGCCGTGATGAGCCAGCAGCCTGGCAGCAGGACAGAGCGAAAGCATTTCTCCACCGCCAAAGTGGCCCCAGCAGCACAAGGCGGGGTCGTTCCTGTTCCAGACGGGAGTTCCGCCCGCGCAAACCATTGCGCCTGTCGAGTCGGCGTGGCGGATGCGCCGGACTCCGGCGCGACGATCCGAGCAGGGGCGGCCGGGGGCTCCGTGCGGGGAAAATTCACGGGGAGTGAATGGCAGAAGGCGATCGGTCGACATCTTCGCTCGCCTCCCCCGCACTCGTCGCCCTCGACCTCCCCCACGCCCACAACCCCCCTCCC